ATGAGGCATTTCTGGGACTTACAGATTTTATTGTATCTGCAGTGTTGTATTCATTGAGAGCTAGCTACCGTTTTTCTGAAAATCTGCCGCGGCTTCATTCACGAACTGCCCAGCATAACTACGGGAATACGAGCACTGCAGCTATGTTGTCCCTCACTGTTGATGCTAAAGTTTTAGGGCGAATTCGCGGTTGCGGCGCATTTTTTTTTTTTCGTTTTCGTGCATTTCCTGACATGCTTGCTAGTGTATCTGTTTGGCCCCTCATACGCTGATGACGTCCGTTTTTATGAGCATTGAATCATTGAGCATTATTCCAGCATGATAAGAAAGAATGCCATGATGTGCGTCGGATCCTAAAAAAAAAGTATTACAGAAATAAGCTGCCGTTGCTAAATTGGTGCCCGTTGAAGCCGAACCAGGCGAAGAATACTGTTTTCAACAATCTTGATGATGAAAAAATTATGTCCGTAAGTTATATTTTTACATCACATTTCATCGTAACTTTTCGGTGATATTTGAACTTTCCTCCTTTTGTAAATGCTACAAGTGGGCGTAACAGAGGTGCATAATTAGACTAATTAGCATAACTAGGCGTGATAAGGGTGCATAATTAGGCCGCACAATTAGGCCAGTTTGTCCTCTTATTCTGTTGTTCTTTTTGAGTGGATTCGTGGAGGGATGATTTATAAATCAGTTTTGTAACACTGCTGTCTTTTATTGTTGACTCGATGCAGACTACAGCATTTTCTTTTCGCTGTGATTTGCTGACGAAGAGGCTTCGTTTGCCGCAGCATATCGTTAGCTTCATGGGCCGATGACCCTTGTAATTTCATGTTTGTTTGGCCAACACGTATCGTGTAGTATTTTACTTGTGTCTTGGTTACACGTATGTGAGCATGTTGAAATTTTCTGATTTGTTTCAAAGATAGCCCACCGAATTGAAAATTAGAGTTAATTTGGCATGAGCAGCAGAAGAGCGTGATACCATTGAATTCGTACTGGGAATAGCGATAAAAGAGTGGGAGAAAAGGGAAAGCAAACGAATGAGATGCATCTTATCGGATAATGTTGGTCCCTTTTTTTGATTACAGAAGCCTTATTCTTTTTTCTTTCAGAAAATCGACTTTACAGCATTGGAAGATTTATTCAAAATTGGAGTTGCGAAACGTTTCGAAGCAGCTTCAACAAGCGTGCCTGGTGAACATTCGCCGAGCACTGTTGGAACTGCTAGCGCCACGAAGAATACTCTTTTAGATACAAAACGACTGCAAAACATTGGTAATTTTTGCGTGCTTGTCTTTTTAATCTTAGTATGCACTTTTATTATCGAGTCGAGCGTGATCTTTCTTTTTTTTTAAATACTTTATGTGTCCGAAGAATTCTTTAGCACTAGCCGTAACAGGAAGCGTCTCATATTTTGTTGTTTAAGGGAGCCATTATCGTTGATAATTCGGGTTTTAGCTAAAAAAATTCCTCCATTCAGCTGACAAGCAACAGATGGAGGTGAGCTCGGGTTTGAATGAGAAACAGCTGTAGGCAAGTTAGAGGGTGCAGTTGTGTTTTTCAGGCAAATGTGCCTTTGCGATTTCACTGGCTCGTACTCTGAATTGAGGAAACGTCTTTTTCCTTATTTAATGTATTTTTTAAGCGATAACGTGCCGAAAACTGGCAATGAATGCATCGGCGATAATGTCCGCGGTGCATCGGATGGATCTGAAGGCACTTCACCCGGAAAGTGTTGACATCCTGCTGAAAATTGCTCCAACACATGAGTGAGTGCATTCTCTGTTCTGCCGTATACCAGCGGATTTGCCTTGTTTGGTCGTGCAGTGCTTTGTAGGAACTTTTTGCCTGGCAACATTTTGCTTCACTGCCTTCAGAAAAGAAGAATTCGTACGAAGTATGCACGTCGTTTTCATTTCAGGGAGATGGCGAAGTTCAAAGACTACGAGTTGGAGCACAAGGGTTTCTCGGATCTTTCGGAAGAAGACCAGTTCCTAGCGCAACTTGTCAAAATTGAACGATTCGAGCATAAAATAAAAATAATGTCATTTATGGGTACGTTTGATGAGAGCGCCGATTTACTGGAGCCGGTAAAATTTATTTTCGCTTTCAAACATAGACTTTTCATTTCGAACATTGCTGTTTCTAACAGCAGCTGTTTAGAAGGGTGGTAGGTCCAATTTGCTGCAAGAGTGGTGCCATAGTTTCCTTCTTTTGTCGCTTTCCCGAAGGTTTTCTTATCTTTAAAACCCAGCAAATGAATTTATAACTTGGATTTTTGGATTTCACTTTACAAATATTTCATCTCTTTTTTTTGTGTTTTAGCAATTTGTCAATCTAACGGCAGCTTCGAAGTGTGTTAGGGAAGCGACTAAATTTCACAAAATTCTGGAAATTTTATTGGCTTACGGTAACTATATGAATAGTGGCCGAAAAGGAGGTGTTTATGGATTCAAATTATCCAGCTTGGACACGGTTCGTTTTGCTTTTTCACCCTCTCTCTCATTGAGATTTTTCCTTTTTACCGTGAAATCTCATTGTTTTAAATGATATCTGCAGTAGGATGGTATTCATTTCCATTTCGGCTATGCTACGTACTTTTTACAAATGCAAGCAACGTTTCTTTCTCTGTATATGGAGGGCGTGCAGTTTCCTTAATGGAATGGCCGCTGTTACAACGAGCGCAGCTTTGCCAGGTTCTTCCGCCTGGGTCTGCCTTCCTTCAGACATTACTCGTCGGTGCATGTGCACTATCTTTTTAACTGTTATCTGATTATTTCGAAGGTTCCCCCCGCCCCCGCGCAGGCTTCTGGGGGTGACAGGGGAATATCAAGCAGACTTTTGTACAGTAAAACAAATGCTACCTAACCCTTTTGCTCCCCCCCCCCCCCCCCCCCC